GTGTCACCTGTAGGCAACAAATAGATGGGTTTTTTAAATCCAGTCTACTAATCTATGTCTGATTGAGCTTAAGCCATTTACATTCAGGGTTAATATATATGGGTAGCATGTTATTTAACTTCATGGTGGTGTTAATTTCTTTCTTCCTGTTGTTGATTTTGTTTTGTGTCTTTTCATTTAAGGGGATGTATAGTAGATGTGTAATGGAGACTGTCATATCTAGTAACATGTTATTTAACTTCATGGCATTGTAAATTTCTATTTTTCTTCTATTGTTGATTTTGTACTGACTTTTCATTTGAGGGGATGTACAGTACCTGTGAAATGGAGACTAACATATCCAGATGTGAGGATACAATGCAGTATGCATCTCTACTTCCAGACAAAGATGGACTTACAATGAAACTGTTTACTATATCTTGACAATAGGATGCTGGACTCTCTGTCCATGCGCACAATGATGGACAAATGACTATGTATGAAGAACTATACTTCAGTAATGACAGGGGAACTAGGTGGCGGGGAACTGGGGAGAGGATAAGGGAAATCCCAGGAGCCTTTTTAACTGTATCATAAAATGATAATAATAAAAATAAATAACGATCTTAAAAAGAATTAAATTCATGATGCAAGGTTTTAATATCAACTTTAAATGTTCTTCAACTTTCAAGAGATTGAAGATTTATATATCTCCACTTACAATTCACTTCCTTATTAATATGTCTGGGCAAGCAACAGAGGACAGCTCAAATGTTTAGAACCTGCACACACACAGGAAACCCAGATGAACCTGCTGGCTCCCGGTTTCAACCGTTATGGGGGGGTGAAACAACAGATGAAAAAGACACCCTCTGTCTATGCTTCTCCATAACTTTGCACTTCAAAGAACAATTAGATCTTCTAAAAGGCAAAAAAAAAAACCCTAGTTTTGTACACCCCTTATTAGCAGTCTTATTTCTCACTGTTTATCCCAATGATTCTGTCCCTAACACAGCAATGAATGCACTCTCACCCAGGACTAAAATTACATTTTGCCATGAGAACTGCTTATATTTTATAGATACGTTAATAAGTAAATCTGAGTTTAAATGGGTTCATTTCCTAACTGGCCGATGAAGGTGCCAACACCTGAACTCAACATTGAGTCTCAGCAGAAACAGTAAGTCACGTTGTAACACCTGTAGCAAAGGAAGTACAGGTCTCTGACACTGGGTGAGCTTATCTGCAGGAGTGCTGGGACACCTTCCCACTCCCTCAATAACTAAAGCCAACCAGACTCCTGACAACAGGACATGCTTTGTCCTCACCACCTGGGCAGAGTTCCTCCAGTGGCCTGCCTCCCAGCCTGCTTTCTCTAATTACTTCCTCAGGTGGCCTAAGAGTGAAGCTGTTTGCTTTCACATAAAGGCCCTGCAGTCATTTCCGCTGTGCAGGACCAGACTGTGCCTCACGGTTGCCATGGAAACCTGACGTTGTGAGAAGCTTGTTGACCAGGATGGCATTTCCTGCCTTTTCTGATGTGGTTTTAAAACATTTCAAATAATACAGGAACGTATAAAGGGTTCAATAAGGTCACAGCAATGCGAAATTTTTAACATTTTGACAAGTTCAATTCATAAGTCAAATAATGTATAAACACATACATACTACTATATTTCTTGGAAACAGGAATATTAATGTCACATCATGTGGAATGTGTGACAAGCATCAACATTAGGAATATGCATGTGCTATATAGGAGAGAGGTGTCTCAAGCAGGTTAACCCTGGGAGCCACATCTCTGGCCCAGCCCATTCTTAAGCGAAACATTAACTATCTTCTTGCTGACTAATTTGAGAACACGAGTTGATTCTTCATTTCCATGTCAGAAATGCAGAGACAGGGAGAGAGAGATCTTCCACCTCCTGGTTCACTCCCCATGCGTCTGCTACACGCTAGGCTGGACCCAGCCTAATGCGAGCACCTGGACCACCTTCTGGGTCTCCCTCGTGGGTGACTGGGACCCACACACTGGCACTGACTTCTGCTCTGGCACACGCATTAGCGGGAATGAGGTGGGAAGTGGATTGTCAGGAGTCCACTAACGGCTCCTGTGCGATACTGTTCTCACAGGAAGTGACTTAAAGTACTATGTCACAATGCCAGCCTCTGTGCATGACTTCTGCGAGGTTCTTCTCTTTTGCTGTTCAAAGCATTCCTCTGGGACCTGATGTAAAAGCATTTTCTGCTTCCCAAGGACTGTCTTACCATTCTGTTGACCGTGTTGGGAAGAGCTGAGAAAGTCCCATTTACTCCTTTTTTGCTTTATGGATTCTAGTTTTGGCATCTCCTTTCTGTATCTTGACCCAGCCTGTGATCACAAGGCATTTGTCCTGTCCATGCCATGAGTTGGTGTGCTTCCCAGTTGGTAACCAGCTGTGGGATAGGGCCCTAGGCCATGAGCCTAAGGGATGTGTAGACAAGGTGTTTTCTTTTGCCCAGTGTCATTGGGATGGATGCTGACTTCCACTGCTCAGGCACCTGTGACTGAGTGCAGTTTCTGAGCATGTGCGTGTCCACCTGAGGGACACTGCCCACCAGGTGACCAAAAGGTGTCTGCCTTCTGTGTGCCTGTAATGAGTGACAATGGCCCTGGCATCTTTCATCTTTTTCATATTGTTCTGCTGGGAGTGCTGGTGTGTCATTGTGGTTTTACTGTGTTTTCTGGGTTTAGTTCCTCTCACATTGACTTGCTCTCAAGTGCTCAGTCTCTCAATCAACATATGATGCAGTAAGTTTTATAGCTTCCCGGTTGGTTGTTTAAACATTTCTTTTAGAGTCAGTGCTGCTGGGAAGCGAGTTGTGCTGTTGCTGGCTGTATTGGCATCCCTTGTAAGTGCCAGATCAAATTCTGGCTGCTCCACCTCTGATCCAGCTCCTACCTGATGTGACTGGGAAAATAGCTGATGTCGTAAGAGCTTTGGACCCTCCACCTGCAAGGGAAACTAGGATGGGAAATCTGTCTCTCATTCTTTATTTCAGTATGCTTTTCAAACTACATATTTATTTGAAATTTATAGATATGAGAGACATGCAGAGAGCATAAAGCCCTTTCATTTACTGGTTCCTACTTCAGATGCCACTAATCTCAGTGCTGCTCCAGGCAGAAAAAGAAGCCAGGTTCTTTGTGGCCTCCCAAATGACCACAGAGGCCTGAGCTGCTGGGCCATCCTCTGCAGCATTCCCAGGGCATTCAAATGCACCCAGCTAGATAGGTAGAGGAGCAGCAGGGCCTGAAACCAGCAGCAGTGTGGGATGCTTGCATCTCATCCAGCAGCTTGATCTGTTAAGCCTTGCTTGAGAGAGGGTGACAGCCAGGCAGGTGGGTGCATGCAAGGAATATGTTCACACTGTGAATATTGCTATGTGAATGAACACTGCAGGAAAGATTACAGGGTTACAAATGGTCATGTGCCAATTATGCACTGAGGAACTCCCTGACAGGAACTCATCTGAAACTTTCAGGTACCAGGTCTGGGAGGAGGTCCAGGTTTGCCAGGATGCAACACTCACAGCATATGCAAAGGCCGGGACTGAGGGCAGATTATGCCAAGCAAGACTGTGGCACTCTCCAACAGGCATGAGAGCCAAGGCTTGGAGTAGCCTTGGGAGGAGAACTTGGAGAATTCTCCTACTAGGCTGTAGATCCTGCTGAGGAATACAGGAGCGAGCTGTGAGGGCAGGAGAGGCCAGGCAAGCCAGTAGTAACTGTCAGGTTTGTGTGTTCCAGGTCTGAGAGAAGACAGAGTTGAGCCAGTCTGCAGCACCTGCTGGCATGCACAAGAGCCAGAACAGGGTGTGGACCACACTCAACTGGGGTAAACTGCAACCCTGACCAGCAAGAGCTGAGACTGCAGGCAGGCCATGCCAGGCAGAGTCACAGCCCCCATCAGCACATGGCAGATCCAGGGATGGGCAAAGGCCTAGTAGGAGAAATGTTTGGACTGCCCTACTAAGCAGCAGGTCCCACCGGTGAGTGTGAGAGGCTGGGCTGTGGTCAGATCACACCAGTAATTTCTAAAGCATCCTTCAGGATACCCGAGGTCTTGGTCAGAGGGCAGGACTGACTGACCAAGGCTTCTCTGCCTGTTGACACTACCGAGAGCCCAAATGAGTTTGGGAAAGACTGTGATAGGCCATGGCATTATGCTGGTCAGTTGAGACCGAGGTTGGAATTGTGCCAGCTGGGCTGGGCCAAAGCACCCACCAATAATATCCGGGATGCAAGCAGGCCAATCAGGCTAGACTGCAGTACCCATTGCTAAGTGCTAGAACTGGGGACTTGACATATCAGGCTGGTGTGCAACATTTGGGAGGCACTTATGAGATCTGGGGCTGGGTGTGGGCCTTATGGCAGAACTTGGAGAACTCTCCTGCTAAGTTTCAGGTTCCACTTGTGAGTGGGAGAGTAGGAGCTGGGTATAGGCCAGGCATGGTCTTGAGAGGGCCACAACACTCATGAGACACATGTTTGCCATTCGGGTTCAGGGTTGAGGGAGGGAGCAAGAATGGGCCAGTACACCAACATCCAATTGCAGGAGCATGGGTAAGGATCAGTTTCGGCCAGACCACATTGGATTGCAAGACCTGCCAGTTCACTTGAGGCCTGGGTTGTGAGTGAGCAGGCTGGGCTACGTTATTGAATCCACTGGACAATGCTGGGAAGGGGCAGGTCAGGCTGAGCCAGGCTGCAACAACTGCAACTGAATCCTACAACATGGTGCAGGCCATCTCTGATTGGGCTACAACACTTACTGGCCTACACATCTCATCCTGGTCCTGCTTGCACATAGCTTGGACTGAAGAAGAAATATAGAGAACACACAACATGCACATGCCATGTCATGCCATCCCACACCATGCTTTTATATTAATTGAAACAGCAATGTTTAGGGAGGGATAAGAAAGACTATTCAACCTATTATAGTGTGGTAATTACCGCATCTACAGGAAATGATGTTTCAGAAGCCCAGGTCTACAAACCCAATAATGAACAACACCTGATATTCGGCAAAAGAGAAAGTCATGGCTAACATGCCGAGCAGAGCTTGAGATTCTTTCAGGTGCTTTTCTTGAACGCCTCCTTTGGAATGACACCCTGGTCCTGGAGGGAAGGAATCAGGACATCAGAAGAGCCAGGGGTCCTGAGTTCAACCCCCAAGCTAACCCCTTCCATAATGCTGAAGGCCCAGACACACCCGTCTTTACCCGCTTGCTTCCCAGGCCTCACCTGGAGCGTGTAGAAGGCCTGCACCGCACTGGTAAAGTTCCACTCATTGTCCTCAAGGCATCTGCATTGGGAGAAGAACACGTGACCTCCACAGAGCACACGCACACCAATCGCTTCAGGCCACCCCATCAATGGTGCCACTCATCCTCTGGTACACGTATGCCAAAATGATTATTGCTCTGACCATGAATGAAAGCTTTTCAACAGCCACAATGTCTTTCCCTAACATTCACACCCTGGATGCCACAGCAGAGAAACAGTGATGCTCAAAAAAAGAGCAGGGGGATCTTGTACATAATACTGCTTTACAAGGGTATGTTGGAGCCTGACAAAAGCAGTGGATAATACCAGCGATTTTGCTGCTGGCGTCTCATATGGGCACCAGTTCCATACCGGGCTTCTACACATGTGACCACATCCCTGCTGAGGGGCTGGGGAAAGCAGCAGGAGATACCCAGTGCTTGAGGCCCTGCTGTTCATGTGGGAGACCTGAGAGAAGTTCAAGATCCTGTCTACAACATGACCCAGAGCAGATCATTGTGGACATCCTGGCAGTGTTCCATCATGTGATGAACTCTCTTCTTTCTCTCTGTGTGTGTGTGTGTCTGTGTGTGTGTGTGTGTGTGTGTGTGTGTGTCCTCTCTGGAACTTTTACTTTGACATTTAAAAAAAGGACTTCATTATGTTAAATCAATAGAACATTGAGAAATTTCACATATAAACTCAAATGACTTCCAAGCATTGTAAAATTGGGGTATCAGCCAAGCAATGCAGAAAATACCCTCACAAGTGTATAATTCATGATTTGCTAGTGTTCTCACAAGGCTGTGCAACTATCCCAACTAAGGCTAAGGTCGTATTCTTGTTTAGAAAAGAAACTCCTTAACGGCTAGTGATGACTTTTCACTCTAGCTCTTTCTCCCAGTCCCAGGCAAGCATGTCTCTGCTCACAGTCTCCATGGATTTCCCAGTCCTAGGTGTCTGTTACAAGCAGAATCACATGGCATGTGATGCTTTGTGACAGCCTATGTCAGAATTATGATGCTTAGGAGAGCAGGATGTGGGTAGCCACACTTAGTGATCCACTTTTCAGCTAAGGGGAAATGGAGTTGCTTCCACTTGAGGCTAGTATGGAAAATGCTGCTACGAATACTCCTGTGCTAGTCTTTCAAACGGCACACATTTTCATTTCTCTTGGTGGTCACCTAGGAAAGGAGTAGCCAGGAATTGAACCAGCACTTGTATGTGCACTGTGTATTGCAGGCAGCAAAATAAATGTGCATCAAATACCACCTGAAAAACAAGTTGAAAAAATCTCTATATGCATCCCTATTAAAGCTTCTCTCTTTCATATGCACAATATTTTCATACAGAAGCAAAGTACTCAGAGACCCTTCTCCACATCACATGCATTTTCATGTGCCACACTCTTGTTGTCCTACTGCCCCCATTCCCATGGTCAACCAGCACTCACTTTTGGCTCCATGAAAGTTTCATCCCAGACTGCAGAGAGAATGCATGCACCATTTCTTCCTGCAGCAGGGAGAGGGTGGGTGGACAGTGGGAGCACGGTATGGCCCCCACGATCGAAAAGCTGTTCCGGACCTTTACAGGGTTGGTGTTGCTCACAAAGAGATGGTCATTCAGGATGCACACACTGTCGGGGAAATGGGTCCTCAGCCAGCTGCACAGAGAACAGTCCCAGCTCCCAACAGGCTCTTCCATAACCACTACCACACACCTACCAGATTCTCACATGTTCCCCCTTCTCTTGCCTCCCAAGGTTCATAACTGTGTCCTCTAACCCTACCTTGAGCTCATGCTGGAGAAGACTGTCTCATATTTTAAGTCAGTCTGTGCACTTCACCTCTGCACTTTTCCTGTGTGACAGTGCAAAGGAGTGGACACAGTTATCCCCACCTTCAGTGAGGGCAGTGAATCATGGTGTCATAAAGTAATGTGACCAACTTCCCATACGTACAAAGTGGTGGGATCAGCAGGAGGAACCACGAACTGGCTCCAGAAACATCTCTTTTAACCTCCAGGACACATTGTCCCTCAGCTCTACCTACGGCTAGTCCCACTGACTGAGCACATCACGAGTGCCACATTATCGCATTCCCTCACCAGTGGTCCTAGGCAGGAATGGCTGTTCCATGAACAGCGCAGCACTTACTTTGAAGTGTCAGTCAGGAACCCAATGAATGTCCGGATAAAACCAAGCAACGAATTTTCAGATCTACTCTCTGTTTCAAGGACAAAACACAGCACCACTTGGAATGTACATTCTTTACCCACTCACACTGCTTTCTCAGTCCGGGTCTAATAGTGGAGAAGATCAGACTGGTCAAATTGTCCACTTGGGTTCAAGACAGCCTGGTGCCAATGAGGATGATAACAATAGGAACAATCCACTATTGGCAAGAGGACTCCAATGTGACAAATCACCTCCTAATTTTAATTCTTAGGGGCCAAGACAAGGATGCTGGTGCTGTACATTGCACTGGTCAGAGGTGAGGAGTGAAAAGATGGGCCTACATCACAAGAAAGCATATATGTGGGCTGCAAGCCAACTGCACAGCCTGTGTCCCAGGTGCTGAAATATATGCAGTAGACAGGCATGGGCCAATAGGGATGAAGAAACAGTTTGGACAGACAAGGAGAAGGAGAACACCAGAGGAATAAGCAGAAGGAAGGAAACAGATTTGGGAGAAGCTGGGAGAGTTCTGAGGGGTATGCCAGGGAGAAGAAGGGTGTAGTGGGGGCTCTGAGGAGGTGACTATGGAGAGCACTCACCTCCCCTGAAAATCCCCTTGACAGTGGCAGTGAAGGACTTCTCCTGAAAGGGAAGAAGAACTCGGGTTCTCAGGATGCCCCTGCACCTCTGGTCTAGCTCTAATTACTTCAAGCCTGCCAGAGGGAGGAAGCAGGTGCTCACTGTGTAGAAGCAGGTGTCTATTGAGAAGGAGCTGAAGTAATGTCGAGTTTTAGGCAACGTGTTGAGGGTGTCCACGATGGCATGGTTTGTGTGCTTCAGCAGTTGCCTCCTCAGGTCTATGTGAGAGAGGAAGAGACCTGTGCTGCCACACCCATCCCTTGGATCTTAAACTGTCTCTTTTCTTCGACCTCACCCGGACTGCCCCATCAAATGCTTACTTGCTTCTGTGATGTTCTTGATATTCCTGCTGATCTTGGCATATTCACACAATTCGGTCCTAGGGGACAACAAAGAACAGTAAGCAGTGTTCCAGGCAGAAGAGCTGATTGCAGGAGCTGACCTGTGTCTGCCTGGGAACTACCTGGCCCCAGATGAGATGTGAATACAGTACTTACGGGACCGGGTCTGTGGAGTTGAAGACAGTGCTCAGAGAGAAATAAGCCTTCTCGTGGTAAACATTAATAAGAGTATGGCGATCTCCATAGTCATAGATGAAGTAATAGCTGTGGGGAAGCAATGAAGATGGGCTATGTCTGTGCCCAGACACAACTGACACTTGAAAACTCCTGTGAGCAGGCCTATGCACATTTGCCTTCCTCATAGTCCCTGGCATACTTACTGGTGAAGGAAATTGAGGATCAAATTTTTTATCATTTCGATTTCTCGAGACCTTTTCTGGAATGAAAAGAGAACCATTTTAGATGTAAATGATGTAGCCCCTGTCCCCACCCCGAGCTGCTACACCATTACTAAAGTCTCCTTAGTTCCTCCTCACCTCACTTGGTTTTGTTGTCTTCTGTCCATGCATTTCTGCAACTGGTGGGGATAAGTCTTTGCCATCCTTGGGAAGAGAGCAGCACAATGAACACGTGGTTTGTGCAAGGTCATGTACAACCACATGTCTGTGTGTGTACTTAAGGATATGTTTTGCACTGGGAATATGCATGGCCTTCATTAGAAGTCATCTCTCTAGTGAAAGATTTTGCGATGCCAACTTGTTACCCAAATCCACCCAAATGCTGTGAGCAGTTATTGACATAGTGTACGTCCAAAGAAGAGAGAGTGATGAGTACAGGTACTCACCAGGCGTGACAAATTGGGGAAGCAATCCAAAATCCCTCTGTTGGATTAAAAAGAGAGAGAGAGTGATAGATAGTAGTGGTTGACATTTGGGATTGCACACCATTTTTTCTCTTTTGCATCTGTTCTTCCTCTAAACTCCTTTCCTGTTTCTTCTGCATCACATGTTCTGTCCTCACTAAATAATCCAGGACCCATAAGAAATCCACTGCCATCCCAGACCTCAGCCAGCTCCCAATCTCCCTCAGTTTTTGTGGTATGATGTTAGGAATCTCCACATGCTACTGGGATGGGGTTGGAGACCAAGCCTGTGCTGCTTCTCAGACTATGAGTTACTCTGCTAGCACCAGCTGGGAAAGACCAACTCAACCCCTTAGCAACGGCCAGGGTGGAAACGGGACAAACAGGAGAGTGATATGTGAATCCAGACACAGGGTAAAGTCAGTATGGCATGATGAGAGAAGGCAACTGGTGGTAGGCCACAGAGAGATGAGGGAGAAAAAAGAGAGCACAAAGAAGGAATAGCAAACAAAAGGAAGGGGAAGAGACTCAACCACTGTGTTGAGATCAAGAAGGAAGGGGGCAGGGAAGTGGGTATTCTGCTGCAACCCTTCTCATCAGGGGCCATTGGCCGGACCAGATGGACCCAGGGCAGTGTGAGAAGAGGCTGGACTTGTGAGAGGCAACGGGAGGCAGGTTGAGCCTTTGTCACCTGTGTGATGTTGGTTGAGTGAGGTTGGGCACTGAGCAGCCCCAGAGATGGGAGCAGTTTCCCTGAAGGAGCAATGGATCAAGGATTCTGGCCCCTGCTATCATCACTGTGTTCTCTTCTCCAGATCCACAGGCAGCAGTGCCTAGTTGTCAGAGCGTTAAGCAAGGAATCAGATGCATCAAGGGCCTTTGGGTCTCCTCTGGAGGATGTAGTTGAGGATGAATGGAGAAGTGGTGCCCATGAGAGGCATGCCCTTGTATCTCGCCCATCTCCTCTACCCTTGACCTTCCAGTCTTGGCTCAAGAATCCCTCTTTCTGACAGTTGCCAGCAGTTAGCCACATGAATCAGGGAACATGGGTTTCTCCTCAGGTAAGTCCCAGCTCCCGGAAATGAAACAAAGGGTTTGATGTCATGTTGGCAGGCATGCAGCTACCAGCTCTACAAAATGGGGCAGGAAAAGAACATTTAAACCTCAGGCAGGTTCTGGGAGCAGTTTGGAGCAGAGGAAGAGCTCCTCTCAGCATTGAGTCAGCCTGAGAAGGTGGGATGCAAGAGCTTGCTAAGTTGAGAGCTACACCATCTGGCTTGGGGCTAAACATTGCTGTCCCTTGTGAAGACACGGAACCTTGCTTCTTGGAGCAAACCTAATGGGAGGTCACCTGGGAGTCCAACACAGTGAGGAGGGATAACACTCTAATCATTTGGAAAGGAGATGATGTCAGAAGGAGGAAAGGAGACCGCAAAGAACAGCTGAAGGACAAAGTGGAGAGGCAGGGTCCAGGTGTTCCTAGAGGACCAGGGTTACATCCTCCTACAGGTGCCACTCAGGGCCAACTTGAGCCCCTGGCAGATGAATGTCCACAGACAGATCACAGGCACTACCACTGACCTTACATAGGCTGCGTGGTCAGGGAAGATCTTGCGCAGCGGGTTCCCTTTCAGCCACAGCTCTTCCAGCTTCAGCTCTTTTACCTTCTCCAGTTCTAGTATAGTCCAAAGCTGAGACAAACAACAAGACAAGAGCAATATGATGTACAAGGAGACATGACCATGGCCCTGCACCCACAGTCCTGACCCTTACCCACAGGTATATCATCTGCATGTTGTCACCTGATATGCACCCACCCACTCATCCTCAACCCCACTTACTTGTGGCTCCCCCTTCTCACCTCGTTATCACACAGGTTCAAGGACCTGACTTTGGGGGCCTTGTCTAAAATGTCAGACAGGCCATCCAGATGGTGCAGTTTGTTGTTGCACAAATTCAGAGCCGAGAGCTTTGGAGAAGGAGGGGTTGGAGTGATAGTTCACATCTGTGGCTTGGGAGATATGCTTGCTCTCCAGGCCACCCTGTGACACTCTGTCCCATATGGGAGTCCCAGTCCTAGGACCATACCTCAGGGAATTCTGTTCCAATGATCTGTAGGGTTGCAGCCATGCATTGTCTTTGATTCAGTATCATGTCAATATGATGGTGCATCAAGTCTACAGGAAACCAGGAGAAGGGAAGCAGAAGGAGATGGGTTGACAAGAGCCAACACCAACACCTTCCAAGTGGTCATCACTTTGTGTACTTCCAGGTTATTCTCACCCCCTACACCCTGCCTTCTCTCTCCATGCAACTGCAGCTCACAGCTATACCTGGGTCAAGGCGTAGACTTTGTAGGTCAAGGCGCTTTGTGTTGGCATCATACCGTTTGTACAAAGTGCGCTGTAAAGACACATATGGAGAGCAGGGCTCTGAGGCTCAGCCAGAGGGGCTGGTGACAGGGACGTGTAGGAGTGCGGGGAGAAGAGGCAGGTGTGTGGAGTGTGCACTGCACAACATTCTTTAACCTCATTACCTTCAGCAGTTGCATTTCTTCTGGTTTCAGTTGATTCTGCACAGAGTAGGGTGCAGCAGAGCGATGGATGAACACAGCTATCTGTGAAAGAAGGGGCAGCCTGAGCACCAGGATCTCTGCTCCCAAGCAGGAACACCACCAGCCCCTGGCCCTGGGAATCGGTTTTGCAGTGTCCTCTGCGCACACCTTTCTGTTGTCATCATCCCGAATCTTTCCACTCACATCCCTCAGGGCGGATGCTGCAATCTCATCTTGAATAAAGAAACAGGCCTGGTTCCTGATGTAATGGAACTATGGGGAAGCAACAGCAACAGTCTGACAGCTTATCTGTCCCTGCTGAGCCAGGCTCCTCTCTCCCCTCTCCCACCCCTCTGCCTTCACCATCCTGTCTTACGTCCACAGCAACGAAAGGAAGCGTGCAGTAACTCTGAATTGATTTCATCAGTTTTGTCTTGTTACACTTTCGTGCATGTGGAATCTAAGTGTAAAGAGGAAAACTCAATGATATGATCAGTAATACAGAATTCAGAGTGACAAACTCAGTGCTCCCCCTCAGACTTTCCAACTGCAATTAGTGTTTCCTGAAGAAAGAGTGCTCACAGAATTTCTTCTGTGCTCAATATTTGAGTTTTCAGAGCCCTGTTTTCTCTATTTTTCGCTCCCCCCGGAATCACCTGGGCTCACGCAGCCTTACTTCTATGAGATTTCAGAGTATTCTATCTCACGCAGATCTTAGCAAGACACTCACTGTGACCTTAAACCAGCATGACGCCGATCCATCCTGTGTTTTTCCCCTCATGTCTTTCCTTGGATATTTGCTATATCGGCACAAAGGCATGTGGATTTGGCCATGATGAGAAGCTTTTACCATCCTCTTCTTGTACTGTGTAGTATAAGAAGTGCTTGGAAAGAAGTAAGAGCAGGTTTCTGTAAGTGGTAGGACAACCTTCCCAACCCAGCTCCTTTTTCTGATGACTGGAGGTAGAAATTCCCAGCCACCCACCATTTCTAGCGCACACACACACACACACACACACACACACACACACACACACAGAAAAGAAGACCCGGAAATGGAAGAGTCCCATGCTTCAAGAGGTTGCTTCGTTTAGACCCAGTAGTCAATTCACTTACCACTCTAACTGTATTTCTTCCTGGGTGTCTACCATTGCCTGGGCTCCATTTGCCTCCTGGTGGTGTGAAGGTGGAGGCTCAGGCACACCATGTTCATACTGAAGGTTTTCCTGGCATAAACGGCGACGGAACAAAGCCCAGTCTTTCTTCATCCGTTCATGGTGGGTGGTACCATCATAGAATTCTGAAATTTAAAGCAAATACATTACGTTGAAGACACACAAGTTTCTGAGGTACTACCTTATGGTCTATAGCCATATTAATGCAAGAAATGTAATAACCTGCCCCCATGAAAACAATCCTAGGAAGCTTAGAAAGAGGACTCCAATCCCTGTCCAGATATCCCACAAATACACCTATACGAAGAAAAATCTTGAATAAGAAGCACTTCAGTCAAATCACTTTTTAAATGGGGATTTGTAGTAAACAGAAATGTGTCTTGTGCACAGAAATCTGTTTCAATCTTGCCTTCTTCTCTCAGATTCTTTCACAATAGCACCGATACCTGGGAGACAACCTCCTCCACACCCTCAAATCCTACCAGCCACCAGACTGATCATATGAAAACTTCCATTTCACAGGTAATTCAAGCTTTAAGGACAGGTGACACTGTGGCAGCACCTACCAAAAATGTCCCAATGCTCCTATCACTGCCCTCAATTATAATTTTCTGGAAATACCCAGAGCAAATATCTTGGCCCAATCTGACATGTTTTCAATACCAGATTCAACATTACATATATTCAACTCTTGTATAATGAATGTCTGAATGGAAAACAGGTATTTTGTTGTAATGTCATGCCCCACTTCTCATCACTCGGATTTTATTTGCCACGGCATGTGATTTAATATCACTGAGAATAAAAGTATAAATATGAGCTCCCTGACAGCCACCTTACAACCCGAATGAAGACAATGAATCAGGACAGCACACAAGTGACTCAGAGCAGCAGGGAGACCAGAGGAACAGACGTTTCTTAAACAGAAGACATACTGGAGCGTTGACTTACTGGACTCTTGCTTCTCAGCACAGTCCCTGTTCTGCATTGGTCCTACAGGAATCAGGGGTGCGAGCAACAGGCTGAGAAAGCAGCCAGTGCTGCTCCTCTAAACTGCCTTAATGCTCCCTCAGGGTCGAGGATGCCTTGTTGATCCTCCCTCCTGGAAACTGTAGTGAGGGAGGATTCTTTATGACATCATCAGTGTGTGACCAGTACTTCCTGGTTCACTCTGGAATTCTGCCTACAGCACGGCCATGATGCTGGGTGTATGGTAGTGAAAGCATGGAAAGAGGAACCAGTCTTTCCCAGTACCATCCAGCATTGGCTCAGGGTTGGGAACACTGCCGGGGATCCTGCAGCCTTCCTCACAGAAATCTCATGGGAACTGACTCCACACAACATTTTCAGATCACAAAGTTTGAGTCCACACAAATCACGTACATCTCCTGGGCTGTTTCATCCAACAATGTAGCAGAACTGAAATTGGATTCTATTTTTTTGAAAGATTTTTTTATTTTTATTACAAAGTCAGATATACAGAGAGGAAGAGAGACAGAGAGGAGGATCTTTCGTCTGTTGATTCACTCCCCAAGTGGCCACAATGTCTGGATCTGCGCTGATCCGTAGCCAGGAGCCTGATGCTTCATCTGGGTCTCCCACACATGGGCAGGGTCCCAAGTCTTCGAACTGTCCTTCGAACTGTCCTTGATTCCCCAGGCCGCAAGCAGGGACCTAGATGGAAAGTGGTGCTGCCTGGTTTAGAACCAGTGCCCATATGGGATCCTGGAGTATTCAAGTAGAGAACCTTAGCCACTAGGCTATTGAGCCAGACCTGAGATTGGTTTATTAAGGTTTTTTTTTTATGATTTACTTATTTATTTAATTTATTGTAAAATCAGATACACAGAGAGGAGGATAGGCCGAGAGGAGGATCTTCCATGTGCTGACTCACTTCCCAAGCGGCCAGAGAGGCCCGAGCTGAGACGATTCAGAGCCTGAAGCCCAGAAACTCCTCTGGGTCTCCTATGTGGGTGCAGGTCCCCAACGTGTTGGGATGTCCTCGACTGCTTTCCCAGGCCACAAGCAAGGACCTGGATGGGAAGCAGGGTAGCTGGGATTCGAACCGGCTCCCATATGGGTTCCCGGTACATGCAAGGAGAGAACTTTTACCACTAGGCAAGTGTGCTGGGCCCTGAAAGTGTTTTTCGAATTTACTTTTAGGCCTTCTTATTTAGTATTATTTTATTTATTAGTTTGTAATGGGTTTTGCTTAGTATTAGTTTCCAGTTGATTCAATTTGCTTCACTGACGTAATTTTAATAATGTTTCGAATACCGTTCCTCCCTCCCTCCTTTTTGTCCCTTTCAACCTTCATCTCTCTTCCTTTCCCCTTTCTCTCCTTCACTGATGAGATCATTTATCTGTTATTCACATGACAATTAACAGCTTTATATTCAGGTAAGTAAAGTGTTCCTTAGGAAAAATGGCTGCCTTTGTCACTTTGTGCAGCCTCGTCCATGATATCTTGGGTAGTAAATGTCTGCTACTGGGAAGGTTGCACTCCTGAAGCTTCCCTGAGCCCATGGAAGCTGAGATCCAGTCCAGACATTGTGCAGGCCTGGACAGAGGTCTAGGTTCCTCTCAGACTCAACTTGCAGTGGCTCCATGCTTCTAAACTGTTCCCACTCCCCTCTTCTTCTGCAAAGATATGCTTCCACATTTCATATACAAGAAGTTTTTAGATTCTTTATTGTAGCGGTTCATTTATCATTACTGAAATGTTATTTATTGCAGAATCATAATTGCAAACTAAAAAGGATGTAAAACGTTTGTATTTTTTTACATAGCTCTCCACTAAGATTACTCAGGAGAGCTACTTAGAAAAGAAATTGCACGTATCAGACTCAGCCAGGGAAAATAGGGAACTTTGAAGAGCACCAGGGAACCACATTTTTCTTCACCTCTTCATGTGAATACTGTCTGCACCCAAGGTTGTAAACCATTTTGATAGAGCCTCTACTTCGGTTTCTGCTTCCTAGAATTCTGCTTCCCAGTCATTGCAATGACTGCCACATTTTTTGCTGACTATTTCAGCTTTATTTGCATGTTTGTACATCGTATTTGTTATAAATGAATATCATTGACAATTTGTAGTTGTTTATTAAATGAAGCAATGCAACCTTAGATAGTGTTCAGATGCCTCCTGATACAGGGAGTTCTCTGATCATCTAGCCGCTTCAGAGATCGCTATAGGTCAAAGCATTATGAGTACTATTCCAACTTTGATGTCCAAGAACATAAGCAGTACTCACTTCAACCATGGAGGTCAAATGCTTCCACTTGCCCTCTAGTTCACGATTCTACAAGTATAATTAAATGAAGGTGACTGTGCCAATGGCAGAATCTCATTGCTCACCTAGGGTCTACAGCAATTGGTTGCTTCAGAACACTTGAGCAAACACAAATGGTTTTCCACTAGCTTTCTCAGTGCTGGGAGGAAAGGAGTGTCCTCAGAGTCCTGAATGGCAGCTGCTTCTTCCATCAGAGTATTCACTTCCAATGGCTTTTTTTTTTTTTTGTGTGGACAATACCCATGATTACTCCTACAACTGTTTCAACCATGCCTACCATGGAATAACAGCATTTTCCATCTGTTGTAACTGGATCCTTGTTGCCTTTGGACCCAGAGAGATCAGACAACTTTTTCAGATCCCATTTTCCACGAGGGCCCTTTTCTTTAAGCCAACACTGATGCCAAGCACTCTATTATGCTTCGTCAAAGCTGCCTATACCAGGATTCACTTTATTTATCTTACGATGATCATACATATGTAATAACACATGCTGTGCAGTTTACACATTTCTGGGGAGGGTGGGGCAGAAAATGTGTCAGGATGCTGCCTTGCCAGGGGAAGCTCACTTAAACTTAGGGACTGACCCAGCTAAAATATCCTTAGAGAATGGGAGCGAACTGACCTGGTCATCAGAGGCAGAATTGTGGAAACCACAATGGCAGTTCTACAAGAATCACAAGTCCTTGCTGAGGTTAACAGACCATGGCTTTACTTTTCATCTTCTCTTGCTTCTCCTGACTCAATTTCTTCTTCTAGTTCAGATATTTGCTAGGCATGTGCCCTGCCTTGAGCACCTATATTGTGCCCGATTCCCTGTTGCCCAGTAGCCTTTCATAGCATTACTTTATATCATGGCTCCTATAAATGCCACCTTCCGTAGTAACAGCCACTTGTCCATTGTTTTGATCTTCTATAGCCATTACAGGATCTATCTGAAGATAAATTGGCTTTCTTTGAACCCTTTGATGGATGCTCACTGTGGAAAGCAGGTATCAGTTGTACTTGCCACCCATCCATATGCTGTTCCTTGTGAGTAGACCACTTCTCTTTCTGCAGGTGTTCATTGAAGTAGACCACGAAAGTGGCCTTTAGGGTGTCACCCAAGGAGTGGTCAGTCCCATGCTGACTTGTGGAACCCAGCTTCCAAATCTGGAGTGGTCTGAGCCACAAATCTATGGTCTTAGGCCTGTTCAGACACTGTTTGTCTTTCTTTGTCATTTAATATAGTGTCCATGAGGATAAAAATGTTCTTCCATGTGAAATTAAACATGCCTGTCACATTACACCATCCATTCTTCCGTTTATGAGAG